CCTTTATGACTAATAACTGCAATAGAGCAGTACCACCAAACATGCATGAGTGTTAGCTTTAATTAATTTGAGATCATAGGTTTGTTAGGGTTTGTTACATGCACAGACTCTAAATTCAGACCTGCCCACTAGTCAGGGTAATTTATTATTTTGATCACAATCAAATATTTTATACAAGTAGCCTTATCTGGAGGTTAAAGGATAGCACTGTTTTGGTCCATGTCATATGCATCACGACAGAAAATTATTGGTCAGAAACTTTAAAAAAATGCAGCACCCTTTTTTATAACTAACCTGGGATAAATTAAATAAAACTTTTACAAATGTAATTTACAAGAGTAGCCATTGTTTTGAGATTTTAAAACAATGGCTACAATAATAATAATAATCATTGTAAATTACACATGTAAAAGTTTTATTAAATTGGCCCCTGTACAGGACCAAAGGAACTGTTGTTGCAAAATACCAATGCTGGGGACTTTATTGTGGGAACTTTGTAAGGAGAAATCCCCATTGAAATCCCCAAAGGCAGATTGGAAGCAAACACAAGACCTGTATAGGAGACACGGTCTGAAAAGTCCCTACCTCCGTAGCTCAACTAGTGATCAATAATCAGCGACTAACGTTGTTGACTCCTTAGTGAGAGACCTATTTTGTAAGCCATTTTGAACTTTATAGTCATGATGTGGGATATCTGATTATCCCAAGACATAGTCTCATCAATGTATATCCCAGCAATTTTCTGGTAGTGTCATTTAGCTTCGCCCCCTTGTGCAACACAAAATTTTAGTTTTTGCACATTACTTAGAATGCTAAACAGACATCCTGGATTTCATAGGTTCAGTCAGATTAAATTAGACAGTGCTCCCTACACTGCTTTTGTCACAGTCTTGACTTGTGTTCATGGCTGGCTTTTGAAACATTTTGAGCTGCTTGTCAGTTACCGATCCTGAGAAAAAATGTGCTTATCACAGAAGTAAACCTGCTGATATATTTTTTTCTTTTCTTTTTTTTAATTTGTAGGTGGGTCTGATCGGAGCTGTTTTGTGTTGTAAAAAAATGATGAGAATTGAAGGAAAGGAGGAAATGCAACATTCTGACAAAATTGAAGGGTAAGTGATCTTTTGCATCAGTTTATAAAGAAAATATCAAAGAAAACATCTCCAAGTTCTCTTCTATGTGTCTGGTAGACCCAAAAGGTAAAAAGCGATTGATTACAATGTGAGTTATATCCTAGTAAGTAACTAATAATTACCTTATCGTTGACTGTTCACTTATACTAACTCAGGATGATATTTTTTAGGTAAGTGCCCTTGAAATAATTGGAAATGGAAGAAGAGATGAAGAGAAAGTATTGTTAGACAAAATGAGGTAAGAAATTTAATAATGAACTTTGTACTTTCATGTAACTCTTCAAGAACGTCTGCAAGGACTACCCATTTTTAAAATCCTGACTTAATGATCAATGCATGCCAAACTACAACAACCGATCCATGATAAAACATAGGAGGTTTGCATAAAAGGGGTGCATTCTTCGAGTGACAAATTTTACTTTTTTTTCCCTTTGCATGTCAATTCATGGATACTTTTGGTATAAAAATTCATAGGGTTCTGAACATGGCCCATTGTAGAAAATTTCTACATTATAGCAGTTATCATAAAGCTTTAATTGCTGAACCATAACCCACTTGTGCATTATAAATTATAATCAGTAGACATTTATGCAGGCCACCAAAATCTTGAGAAAATAGTCAAGAAATAGTTATTAATCTTTCCATGTGCTTGCCATTTGCTTTCCACAAATTTCAAATTAGTTGTAAGCTGCGGGGGGGTGTAGGGTGCGGAGTGTAGGGAGAGGGGTAAAGAGGGAGAGGTCACTTCCTTAAAACATTCCAAACTATACACGTAATGAATGACTGGACCTATTTTGTATTCAAAGTGCATCCTTCTGCGAAGCATTTTAGTGTAAGATTGAAAATTGTCATGTTGATCTGGACAACAAAATGATATAAGGTAAAATAGAATAATATATTATAGACAAAAGGATACGTTTGCTTGATTTTTTGAAAATGAGTTGCAAACTCACCTCTGAGGGAGAGGGGAACTCGATTCAAGATTCCACGTGATATCCTGGGCTTCCATATCCCTGATCCCATACAGCTATTTTGAGAAAGGTTGTCAAGAAAAATGTGCACGCGACAATCCCGAAAGGTAATATGGGATATGCGCAATACACTGTTCCTGACACTGTAGCTGTCGAACCTACTTTTGTTGCTTTCCTTTAGCACTCACAGACATATGTCCATGGCCTCTCCTGCCATTCTTTCCAATTTCTTTGAAAAACAGTGAACTCAAAACCACCCACAATACCTTTCGGGGTTGTCGTCTTTCTCAAAATAGCTGGATATCGTACAGTGCTTTTTATCTGTCTACTTTATTCCTGATCAGTTTTGGTTGCAAGGTGATACCTCTCTAATGTTTTAGAGAAAGCAATTCCATGTAGTCTCCGAGGAAGATATTTACAGGACTGTTTGGCTAGTATGGGATTTAAAGGGTGGTACATGCAGAGGATATCTTAGCTTATCTCGGTATGTCAAAGATGACGCAGGCTAACATAGTTATTGTCTTCTGTCAGGCACAACTTAACATAATATGGAATGTGAAAATGGTCTATTTCTTTAGAAGCTATTCTTTTGAATTAAAGTAAGTATTTTTCCTTTCCAATGTTTTTATCTTTGACGTTACAATTATAGAATCATACAAATGCAAGTTAGCAGATAAGATATGGTCATTTCTTGGACACTACAAGTTGCCATAGTGACACCATTGTGAGCTACCTAAATGCATGTTCTACAACGTCCATTCACCTACTTTTCAAAACCTCACGCCAGGAGAGGATATACATTTATTGAGCTTTTTTTCTTGCCCTGTGTATTGGCTGCGAGACCTTTACGTTTGTTTGTTTGTTTGTTTGTTTAACCGATTAATTGATAATTCAATCTAATGATAATTTCCTTGATGAGCAGGGTAGATCATTTGAAGTGAAAACTGAGTCTGGGAAGCCAGTGGATAGAAATCAAGGAAAAGAAACAAAGAAACTTCTTCGGATCAAGTCACACAGAGGGAATGTAAAGGTAATGAGATTGGATGATACAATCCTGTGTTGATGCCCTGAATGAGTGCCAAATTGAGTCATATAAAATGCTTATACATGTAGCTGTTACAGATCACACACAACAAGTATTTCATGCAAGGCAAAGTTCAATCCCAATAATAATAATTGTTTTAAGTACGTTGGATATAAAGACAAGATTAATGATAGTTAGCCAATGACGTCATGACTTGCCAGAATGATAGACTGACTGAACAAACATGGAAGGATGTGAGGAACAACTTGCGAGACGAATGGAAATGCATCAGTGAATCACACCCAATAGTATCATGGGTTAACCAAAAGATGACCAATGATGACGTCGTAACTGATTTTGTGCCACGAGACTAGGACTTTGCTCTAACAGGACCTGTTGGGCATTGTCAATATTCTATGCCCCTTGTGCAGTGCAAAATTGAATTTTTGGCTGGGAACTTTGTGTGCTGGATACCCTGGATTTCGGAGATTCCGAGATTCAGTGCTCCCAATAGTTTTCTTACAGCGCTGGCATCTAAAAATAAATTTCTTGACTTGCGTTCGTGGCTGACTTGTGAAAATTCTTGGGCAACTAAACTTGTCAGTTACTGATCCACACTATTGCATTGAGAAAGATGTGCTAATCATTATACTAAAGCTGGTGAATTGTTTAATTTTTTGCAGTGGGAGAGCTGTTTTGGGCTGTAAAAAAGTGATGAGAAAGTAAAGAAGAATGCAAGAAACTGACAATTTTTTAGGTTAGATGAATTTTTTTTGTATCAGTTTATTTTTGTTTATTTTTTATATATATAGTACCAGTCATTTGCAAATCTACTACACAAAAGAAAGACATCGAAGAAAGCATCTCCAAGTTGTGTTATTTGTCTCTGGTATACCTAGTAGGTAAAAATGATTTACTTTTCACTTATTTTAACTTGGGATGATATTTTTTTCAGGAAAACGCTCTTGAAGTGGAAGAAGAGATAAAGAGAAAGTAGTGCTAGACATAATGAGGTAAGAAATTTAACAATAAATTTTATTTTTAACACCTCACGAATTGCAAGGGCTGTCTTGTTTTAGAATCAAGAGAATAATTAATGGATACCATAACAGACAATCCACGAGACATGTCCCAATATAAATATACAGAAATGTTTATGTAAAAGCCATATGCATGTAAAGTCATTCCCCATCATTCCCTATGATAAGTTACCATTTCCAATCACACATCATTCACTATGATAATCCATCACACCACGTCATTACTAGACATCAGTCAACAATAGTAGACAGAATTCCCTGTCCGTAAACATCATTCCCCATCACTACACATCATTAACTGTCACTAGACAACATTCTAAAACAATAGACATCATTCCAAGACAAATGACATCATTCACCATCACTATAGACATCACTCACCATCACTAAACATCATTTATCATCACTAGACATCACTCACCATCACTAGACATCATTCACCATTACTAGACATCATTCACCATCACTAGACATCACGCACCATCACTAGACATCACGCACCATCACTAGACATCACTCACCATCAGCAGACATCATTTTCGGTCACTTGTCATCAGTCATCCTCACTAGGAATCATTCGCCATCAGTAGACACGAATCACCGACAGTTGACATCATAAGTACACTTCATTCACCATCAATAGACATAATTAACTAATTAACCGTCAGTAGACATCATTCACCATCAGAAGACATCATTCACCACCAGTGGACATCATTTACCATCAGAAGACATCATTCACTATCAGCAGACATCTTTCACCGTCACTAGACATCAGTCATCGTCACTAGACATCATTCACTATCCCCAGACATCATTCACCATCGCTTAACTTAATTTAAGGTCACTAGACAGGGTTTACTATCACAGGACAGGTTACCATTAGTAGACATCATTCACCTCCACCAGGCCTCATTTACCACTGCTAGACATTAATTACCGTCACTAGAAATCATCAGCGTCACTGTTCATTCCTCGCCACTACACATCATTGAGCGTCGTTGGACATTACAGAGGGCCACTAGACATCATTCATCGTCAGTACAGATCACTTACCGTCATTAGATATCGGCATCAGTAGACAGCATTCACCACCAGAAAACTTTCCGCGTAGTCTCTAGGTTGGTTAATCTCGGGACTGTTTATTTTGGGAATTATGGGATGGTAGACAGGAAATAGCTTGGTATGGGAAAGATGACACAGGCCAACAAAGGCACAACTCGGAAAAAAATGGAACCAAAAAATGTCGGGCGATAATGTATTATTCCTTAGGATGATGTTCCTTTGAATTGAGGTGATTTTCCTTTCGGTTGTTGTCATCGTAGACGTTACAATGACAGAATCATACAAATGGAAGTTAGCGATTTTGATAGTCTTTTATACGACACTTGAATTAACCATAGTGATACTGTTGTGAGCTATCGTTAAAGTATTCTCTACAATGTCCATTCACTTACTTTTCACTTCCTGACTCCAAGAGAGGACATTTATTTAACTTTATTTACATGGCATTTTAGATGCGAAACCTTCACTTCGATTGTTTGATCGATTGATAATCCAACCTATAAATGACGATTTCCCCACAGAAAGATGAACGATGCAGATGATTTGACCTGAAAACTGAGTCAGGGAAGCCATGTGAAAGAAATCAAGTAGAAGAAACCAAGTAACTTCACTCCGAAGCAAGTCACAAAGAGGAAGTAGAGGAATGGAAGGGAAGATTAGAGGTAGGAAAGATTAGGTTATATAATCCTGTTTTAATGAACAAGAGATGTAACCACGACAGAGGATTTATTCACACTGAGCATAAGGAAGAGACAGGAACAGCTACTTAAACACAGAAGGAGAAACTCTCAAACAACTCAGCAACTACGTTAATTTTGCTGCTCTTTCTCAGGCGCGCTTGCGTGGGCTAGTGGGTAAGTTCGCTTTCTTTAAATTAAACATTTGACGACCGCTTGGCTCCTGCCGCCGTTTAATTTAATTTGAGTGATTTATGGAGGGAGCTCAGCTTCCGGTTGATCCTTCGTTAGTGGGCAGTTTTGTTTTTTTTCTTCATCGTCTTTGAGAAATTTTGACTTAATTTTTTTCCTGAGATTTTTTTCTTTCTTTTAAGCAACCAAAGAGTTCATTATTATTTTTTGAATTCTCTGGCTGTTAAAAAGAAGAAAAAATCCGGAAAAAAAATTTAGTCAAAATTTTTCTAAGAAGATGAGGAAAAAACGCAAAACGGCCCGCTGGCGGGGGTTCAACCGGGGGCTGAACCCCCTTCATAAGTCACTCAAATTAAATTAAACGGCGGCAGGGGGGAAGCGGCCGCCTTGTGTTTAATTTAAAGAAAGTGAACTTATCCACTAGGCCACGCAAGCGTTGCCTGAGAAAGTGAGGCAAAGTTAACCTAGAAGTAGGTACAGGGTCTATTGTTTTCAGAGAATAACGTTGATTAGTCATATTGTTTATTCTTATCCCGTGCGGAATGTTAGTCCGTGACGATACTACAATGGAGAATTGTAAACTATGGATTTTAGCTGGTAGTCAACATTTGATATGAGCGAAATGAGTTTTGACATGAATTTCTCTCTTCTTTTTCTAGCCATCCATTCAGATTACAAGAGAAGAGCAGATCCTGGAGATTCTTTTTAAGAAATCTTATCAAACATTTGTAAAGATTGCGTAATAAAGTTTATTTTCGTTGTTGTATAGAACGTAGGATAAACAAGTAAGTATTCGAACGACTAGCATAGAAACTAGTATTTAAATACTGTTTGAAAGTAGTGAAATTAATTTTACACTATTTTCATACAGTAGTCAAATACTTGTTTCTACTAGTCGTTCAAATACTGTTTATCTTTAAGCCAAATAGTTGACTTTGACATACACTACAATAGTGTTCTACATTTAGACAAAATTTTAGTTCGACTTTCAAATACTATAGAGTTCTACACTTAGACAAAATGTTAGTTCCACTTTCAAATACTATAGTGTTCTACACTTAGACAAACTTTTACTACACTTTCAAATACTATAGTATTCTACACTTAGTCAAAACTCTAGATCACTTTCAAATACTATAGTATTCTACACTTAGTCAAAATTTTACTACACTTTCAAATACTATAGAGTTCTACACTTAGTCAAAACTCTAGATCACTTTCAAATACTATAGTGTTCTACACTTAGTCAAAACTCTACATCACTTTCAAATACTATAGTATTCTACACTTAGTCAAAATTTTAGTTCGACTTTCAAATACTATAGTATTCTACACTTAGTCAAAACTCTACATCACTTTCAAATACTATAGTATTCTACACTTAGTCAAAACTCTAGATCACTTTTAAATACTATAGAGTTCTACACTTAGACAAACTTTAGTTCGACTTTCAAATACTATAGAGTTCTACACTTAGTCAAAATTCTAGATCACTTTCAAATACTATTTTGTTCTACACTTAGTACTAATAATACTCAGACAGACGTTTCAATAAAGTTTATTTATCTCAGGTATTTCAACGACAGTTCTGACTTCTGGTGTGACAAAAGACTCGTTTTAAAGCACGTCCTTTACTTCACTCCATCTTCAGAGCGCTACAACTGAAAAAAAAAGAAGGCAATCAAGTTAGCAACTATTTTGTCAAACATTATCCTACACAACTATCACCGCTCAACTTGACATTTCACTTCTTCAACATTAAGCACGGGATTCGAATAAATTATAACTAATCAAAAGGCTACGCACGATTTTGAATTACAATCAAATTACTGTATGCAAAACAAGAACATTCTAGATAAAAAAAAACAAAAGCGAATTATACTTCAAAAACTTTTCGTGTGACACAAGTAAGCTATAAAATCCTTCTCTAGTCGAAAATTTGAAACACAAACTGCCTTTAAATCTTTTTTGAGCGGAGCGAACGCTCAGAAACGTTGTTTGTTGTGTTCTAAGATTAATTCACAAGTAAGGTGACATTCCGCACGTGGGATGAATAAATTATGACTAATCAACGTTATTCACTGAGAACAATAGACCCTGTACCTACTTCTAGGTTAATTTTGCTCCTCTTTCTCAGGCAACGCTTGCGTGGCCTAGTGGATAAGCTCACTTTCATTAAATTAAACACAAGGCGGCCGCTTCCCCCCTGCCGCCGTTTAATTTAATTTGAGTGACTTATGAAGGGGGTTCAGCCCCCGGTTGAACCCCCGCCAGCGGGCCGTTTTGCTTTTTTTTCTTTATCTTCTAAGAAAAATTTTGACAACAACTTTTTTTTCGGGATTTTTTCTTCTTTTTAAACAACCAAAGAATTCAAAAAATAATAATGAACTCTTTGGTTGCTTAAAAGAAAGAAAAAAATCCAGGAAAAACATTGAGTCAAAATTCCTCAAAGACGATAAAGAAAAAAAAGCAAAACTGCCCACCAACGGAGGTTCAACCGGAGATTGAGCTCCCTTCGTAAGTCACACAAACTAAATTAAACGGCGGCAGGAGAGAAGCGGTCACCATGTGTATAATTTAAAGAAAGCGAACTTACCCGCTAGGCCACTATTTTCAGAGCTAGGCCACTATGAACTATATCGTTATCACTGCAAGCTCTAACAAAACAAATCAATATTAAAATCTACAGGTAAAAAAAATGAAAATTCAACTCCCAACAGATATCTCCTATTTCAGACAGCCCAAGTGATCAACTACCTTTCTATTTTTTTCCTTTTTCTTAGTTCATTTTATTTTTTATGAAGAAACAGCAAAGAAAGGAAAAGAAAAGAAGTCCCGGTTTTTTAAAAATTGTATCAATTTTTGAGCACGTGATTCGTATGAGGATAAATTAGAAGTTCCAAAACGCCTATGTTTCTTCAAGATGTGTTTTAGAACTTGTGTCAATGACCTAAAATAATAAAATGTCTTCGATTCAAAATGCAAACCAATACAAGAAATAGAGTGTAAACCTGAGAGAAAGGCTACTTAATTTTTTTATTATCTACAACTCTGAGTTTGTTATAAGATGTGTTTAAAGTAAACGTCAAGGCCACAGTTCAATGCTTGAATGAAATTTCTATCTAAAATGTCATCAGTTTGTGAATTGAACACATTACTTAAAAATAGCATTTTTATTTTTGGCGAAAATAGTTTTGTTTTAGGATGGTAAAATAAAGATTTCATATTTGATGCCCAAACATTTTTCTAAGCAGCTGAGTCCACAAGTCCACATAGAAGGTAAACTTTTTACAGACAAAAAAATGTCATTTTATCACAGTTAAAAAATGTCCAGTTTTCGAAAGGGGTTAATCCATGACTTTAGTCAAAATGTTAAACTTCTTCCGAAATTAATTTTCTTGGAAAAAGGCCTTGGTATGATGTTTGACGATGTTCCATATAGAAAAAAAGTCTTTCTAGACTACACAAATGTCATTTTAACATAGTGGGAAAATGTCCATTTTTCCAAAGGGAGTAACCCATGATTTTCGTCAAAAATTTGAAATTTCTTCCTAGTCTCATTTTCTTTGAGAAAGACCTAGACATGATGTCTAATAACGTTCTAAATAGGAAAAAAGGGCTTTCTAGGATACAAAAATGTCATTTTAACATAGTGGGACAATGTCCGTATTTCCAAACGGGTTAACCCAGGATTTAGGTCAAAAATTTGAAATTTCTTGTGAGTCTATTTTTCTTTAAAAAGTAGCTAGACATGATGTTTAATAATGTTCTTAATGAGAAAAAAGAATTCCTTGACTTAAAAAATGTCATTTTAACAGAATGGGAAAATTTCTATTTTTCCTAAGGGAAAAACGCTTACCAGACTAAAAAAAATGTAAATTAAAAACATTGGGAAAAT